TGGCTTTAAATTTTCTAGTGCGAAAATCCATTTCATTACCTTCACTAGATGTCCTCTTGTCCCAGATATTTCCATTGTATTTGCTTGGCTCACATATCCCAGAGTGTGATACGGTCAAGTTTCTTGGCCTTCTATTTGATTGCCGGTTAACATGGAAACCTCACATTTCCTCTTTGAAGGCAGCTTGCCATGGTCAGCTGAACCTTCTTAAAATTCTTGCACATCATTCATGGGGAGAAGATCGTCGGTCTCCCCACCGTTTGCACTCCTCCCTAGTCTTGTCAAAGCTGGAGTATGGCAGCCAAATCTATTCTGCGGCTTCTCCTGCAACTCTTTCTAAGTTAGATTCCCTTCATCATCAGGGTCTACATTTATGCCTTGGTGCCTTTCGTTCAGCCCCTTTTGAAAGCCTGTATGCTGAAGCGAATGTTCCTTCCTTAGCCGATCATCGTGATGCTCACTGCCTTCATTACTTTGTCTGCTCTCATGACCTTCATGTTCCTTCTACATATTGATTAGTCTAAGACGTTAATGGAAGTCCATTATTTGATCGGTGCCCCTGCCTGCTCTGTCCGTTTTCTCTTTGTCTTCACTCTGGTCTTCTCTCCAGTTGCCTCCCTTGTATGTTCATGTAGTGTCTGCCTTTTCCCTTTTCCCTTGGGAGGTTCCGACGGTTCATGTCTGTTCTCCTCTACTGCCGTGCACCAAAGCTGTCCTGCCTACCGCTGCTTCTCAGTCTCTTTTTCTTGATCACTTCCGGTTGCATGCTCATGCCAGCACTGTTTATACAGATGGTTATAAATCTTCTGATTGTGTTGGGTTTGCAGTGGTGTTCCCCTGACGATGTTGTCCGAGGTCATTTGTTAGTTGCGGCTAGTATTTTTACCAATGAGTTGTATGATATCCTCATAGCCCATGATGACACTCTTCAGGTCACTTGCTCTATCTAGGCTGGACTATTGCTGCACACTTACAGCACCTTTCAAGGCAGGTGAAATTGCTGACCTAGAAAATATACAGAGAACCTTGGCGGCACACATAACGGAGATAAAACACCTTAATTACTGGGAGCACTTAAGTTCCTGAACCTGCACTCCCTAGAACGCAGGCGGGAGAGATACATGATTATATACACCTGGAAAATCCTAGAGGGACTAGTACCAAACTTGCACACGAAAATTACTCTCTACAAAAGCAAAAGACTCGGCAGACGATGCAACATCCCCCCAATGAAAAGCAGGGGTGTCACTAGCACGTTAAGAGACAACACAATAAGTGTCAGGGGCCCAAGACTGTTCAACTGCCTCCCAGCATACATAAGGGAGATTACCAATAGACCCCTGGCTGTCTTCAAGCAGGCACTGGACAAGCATCTAAAGTCGGTACCTGACCAGCTGGGCTGTGGCTTGTACGTTGGATTGCGTGCAGCCAGCAGTAACAGCCTGGTTGACCAGTCCCTGATCCACCATGAGGTCTGGTCACAGACCGGGCCACGGGGGCGTTGACCCCCAGACCTCTCTCCAGGTAAACTCCAGGTATAGTGCTTCTCCGTATTACATGTATAACTCTTGCGTTTGTGATCATTTTGGGCTCCCTCAGCACTTTACAGGCCATTAAACAATTTGATTCCCCTCATTCATTGCTCCTTATTCAACTTTGGTTGTGCTGTGTAGCTAGCAAAACAAAGATGTCATTTTCTGTTGGGTCCCTGGACACAATGTGCAGGGCAATGAACGGGCGGACGCTGCTGCGTGGTCAGCAGTGCGTCATCATCCGGTTCCCTATAGAGGTATTCCATTCAGGGATTATTTTACCTTCATCACTGCCTATCTTTGTGGCTGTTGGCAACAACAGCGGTCGGATATGCACCATAACAAGTTGCACTCTATTAAACCGCTGTTGGGTTTGTGGCCATCTTGCCACCATTGCTGTACTTGGGAGACTGTGCTCTCCCATCTCCACATCGGCCATACTCGCCTTACCCATGGGTATCTCATGGAAGGACGCCCTATTCTTCTCTGCGAGCTTTGTCGGGTCCCTGTTTCAGTTCTTCACTTTCTTGTGGATTGTCCGGTTTACCAGCGAGTTCACAGGATTTACCTCTTCCACTAACGCCGCTGCCCTACCACTCTTACCTTATCTTCCCTTCGTGCAGACGGTCCTGCCTTTGACTTACGAACACTTTTTGACATTTTGTCAGCAACTGCTTTACTATACGAACTTTGACACATAGCCCCTAACGTCCTTTCCAGCCCTTTTCTCTCCTCACCTCTAATCCATTCTTCACCTAGCTGTTTATAGCCCGGGCACTATTTTTTTGCCCTGTAGCACTGCATGATCTTGTCGGTTTAGTGCTTTATTTGATTATAATAATGATTGCATTTCATCACTTTGGTATAGAATGGACAGCCTTCAGTCACTAGACTAAACGCTGGTGACTGACTTTTGATCCATGTTATTAGAGCTACTCTCCATATACTTTGACCAAACCTTTATTACCTTTTATTCCCCATCTGAGTTTAGTGCTTCTCAAATAACTATAATAATAATATGGGCAGCATCTAGTTAGCTTAATATATTATGCACCCCATACCCATCCTGTGGGCGGTAGCTAAAAGATTACAGAGGTACATAATGGGTCCAGGGACTGGGCCCCAAAGTTTTGATAGCTGAGCAAGTTATAAAGGTACTGAACTCCAGGTAGGTCTGG